TCTCTCTCAGACCCGTCTGGATGCAGTCAACCTTGGCCCTGGGAAGACAAGTCGGAGTTCTGTGCACAATAAATTCTCCTTCCACCCCTTTGGTGCCTTCTGTTTTTGTCCCTGCAGCATAGGATTTGGCCTAATGATGGTGGCGACTTCAGAGTACGGGCCGTGCGGGGCCCGGAATCTCCCCGCCGAACGTCATATGTACGTTACATGACCGGCGAGCAATGTGGGCTTAGCCCCGAATTCTTCCGACTGAGATCGCACCTTCAAATCATGCATTGGCCTGATCAGCCACTTGCGGACTCACCGCGCTGAGACCGGCCGTCCAGTGTCAGGAACCTCAATATACATCTGTTGTACCCGCCTCCTCCGCCCACAATGCCCAGGAAATCCAGACACCACAGGTTTAAACCCTGCGTGTAGGATCCCAAAACATTAACTGAGATCCACCGGCGTGAGGAAAAGTAGATGCTGGGACTGAACGGAAACGTCGATTCCATTTACTTTTACAGAAGGCGTGAACTCTCTCCATCGCTCATCACGACCGAGTACAGGAGGGAATGTTTTCACGCGAATGAAGGCTCGTCCTTAATGCTTCCAACCTAGCCCTCCGACCCGTTTGACATAGTCAGCGTGTCCTGAAGCCCACGATCCGCCAAGTTCAGACTAACGATAACCTTATCTGACATATAATAAACAAGTTGATTTCTTGCAATTCTTTTATGGACAGTCGCCTCTGAGCAAGTGACAGGAAACTGCGGTTGGGTCCGAGCAAGACGCAGTATTTCCAATGTGTCGCACAGACAAATCCCCTTTCAACAGTCAAGTTCTGAAGAGTAGATAATCTGATTAAACTCACGGCTGCCGTTTGGGGGCCGCTTAGCTCAGATGGTTAAAGCATTGAATGCACTCAAGCTTGGTCCCTGCTGTCATGGGTTTGTACCCCATCGAGGCCGCCGAGTTTTTCACGATTGAGTCAAATGAATGTATCTTGTCCAAACCAAACACGGATAACTCTACAGTTCAGTGAGAGGCCTTCCAATGTCACAAATAAAACATCTACCTAAGGATGCACAGGGAACCCTGGGAGACCCACTGATGAGGCGAACCCCCCGCAGCGGCAGAATATAGACGAAACACGCGTTTGGGCTTTTAGCTAGTACCTGTGCCATCAGTACGGTATCATACAACGTGAGCCTTTCAGTACTTGAGCAGCACTGCGATGTAGTTTAACTGTGCTGCGTACTTTAAAAAGCAGTATTACGCAAGCAATAGAAATTCCCCTAAGGCGATTTTTAACATTTCGCGTGAAATAAACTTTTCAGCACTTTTTTCAGAAATGTGGCTGAATTCCCCGAGACATTAAAATCAGTGGAAGATCTGCACAGATAGAGCATTTTACACGAATTGCGGTGCTCCCCGTTAAGACACGTGGGCCAAAACCGCAATTCTGGACAGGGGTACACTGGCTTCGAGAGATTCAGTCGTGCCAAATACTCGCACGCATGTGAAGTGGTAGACACTGCCGATAATTTGTTGTGGATAGTCCGTCTTGAAATTGTAAATGGTTCATTCCGTACTGTAATGCCTGTCTCTTATGCCTCTTCATAGACAGGAATTCATATTCTTCACTTTCTATTTCCAATACTCCTCAAGTTAGCTCATAATTGTCTTTGCTCAGCGCCTGGAAACCCCAGGTCAGGCAGGAGTGCATTCAAACTTCCTCATTGTTGTCATCATAGGGCTTAGCCGGCTCAGTCGCTTGATCAGATTCATGAGCGGAAAAACTGACAGCTATGAGAGCTGGGTGGGGCGCTAAACGGCATCCCGCATGGCGCGGAGAGGACGAACATAAATAACCCTGCCGACAAAACCTTGCATGAGTAGGTTCCTCGCATGGCCACTAGCGACGAAATACGCACCCTACCACGAGGTGGAAGCAATTTAAAACAACTGCCCGCTGGATGGATAGACGAGCACTCACTCGTCGTGCAGGGCAGGTCGACCCCAAGTGTTACTGTGTGATTGATTTCGGAGCTTGGTGGTGCCATTCCCAGTCAGGGCATGCTACTGACAAGTGAGAACCACGTGGCGAAGCCCTTACGGCTCAGCCCAGCCTACTATTTTTGTTGCGAACCTGACTCAGGGGTGGCACCTAAACCTAGTTTTCACGGTAATCCAAGCGGGAAGCTTCGAGTGTGCGCCGCCCCTACCCTCTTACTTAAACAACAGACCCACGGAGCACAGGCCAGCGCGGGACGTCAGAAAGTTCACTTCACGCTGCGCACTTGTCGTCAGTTCAGCCAGCGTCCCAGCCATCAACACCGAAGACGTGCGACAGATACTTTAATTCAAACTCGGATTGGCTGCTGCTAGATAGGGCAGCGAGCGTAAGCGAGGTAGCGCTGCCCCGGGCGTTGTTTACGGGCGAACAATTCGAATACTTCAGTAGATAGTCCTGACGGCGGACACCTCATGCCAAACTCACCATCCAACTTGTCCTTCCCAACTCGAAGGCCGGTCGTGGGGACTCGCCTTGGTGGCGTGGGATCCATACTGGCATACATGTCCACCTGCATCTCGCCATTTTAACGCGTCACGCACGTGGCGTGCACGCCCTAGTCCACTATCGAACTGCTTACTGGCGCGGAAGCGCGAACACAGCGCCTCGAACGGCCGACAGCATCGGGAAATCACCAGCTGTGCAGATGGCTAGCCCAGATGAGATGTTAAACTCACTCTCCGATCTGGCTGCCTGCAAACGTGACGACGCGCGAATCCAGTCAGGTCGGAAGGAGCACCCGCTCATCCTATTCCGGGAGGAAGAGTCTGCGAGTCCCAAAGACAGCGGTCGAGGTGGGTAGCGAAAACCTTATCGGTCACTCAATACTGGTAAACGGCGAGACCTCGCCGGACTTGGTAGTGGCAACGACGGTGCGGTGAGCTTGGTGAGGCAACCAAACCTGACATGTAGTGTTTGTCAGTTCACTGAAATCGCACAAGCAGACGCAGCCTTGACACGATATCATGCTGCGAAGTGATAGGGCTCACGGACGAAATGGAAAGTATCGGAGGTTGTTACAGCCCAAACGACAGACTAATTACAGACGAGACCTGACATCTGTCAGTTGCGCGATGTCGGCCGGCCATGAAAAGGGCACACAGTAGACATCTAAAAACCAGATCCGCGTGATCTTTACGCGTCACAGAGGGATGAACTCTTACCTTGAGTTGTTAAACTCAAATAACCAACTTGAGGCCCCTTGGACAACGTAACACACTAATGACCACGCCGGTGACCAATTATACGATAAAGCTACAAAGGATCACAACTTTTTATACAGTGTGCTCTGAAAGATAAGTAACAGTTTAAAGTGCAAGTAACAATGAATACGAATTTATACATAATGGAGTGTACAAGGTCACCAGTAGCAATCGTCACGTTCGGGATGGGCCTGTGAATTTACATGTGGTCGGGTCCTGCGTGGGTGCAAGAGGACTCGAATACCAAACAGCCCAATGATAGAAAACTCACGATACGGGAAGGTTTACAGTCGTCAAGCAAAAACCTTGTGAACAACGCAAGGGGGTCTGAAAGATCAAATAAAATGAGCGAAACCGAGCGCGACGGATTGTGGGAACAAGATCTTTGTCAGGCGCGTTGGCTACCGGCATAGACTGTGAGAGCAAATCGGGTTGTCAAATGTAAGGAAGTGATCACCGGCCTTTCCGAACGACCTTCTTGGCAATATCTCTGTGTTCCGTCGGCCATTTGGTGAGGCAGGTAGTCAAGCTTTCATGACTGATCACCTTGAAATGCAGAAGCGACTGCAAAAATTGGCGATAGCTGTCGCTCGCTAAAATACAAGATATTGAACGTATCGAAAGTAGGGCAAACGGTGGCTTACAAGTTCTGTACTCTTTGTAATTAAGACGCAACACAGAACCCGAGTGGTTGGAATGACTTAAACAGAAAAGGGAAGTTATGAGCTGTAAGAGTACTGACGAGTGATAAGCGCAGCGCTTGAGAACCAGAGCAATTATTAAGATGGAGTCCATTGTGGGGAACTCGGGGCAACCAATAAATCTAATAAGGCAATAGGGCGTTTAGTTATTTTGCCGAACCTTCTAGAACCTGAAACAACGTATTACGGTCTAGGTAAACATTACAGACGGCCAGTTATTTTAGGGACGTAGAAGTACGACTGTCAAACCTAAGGTTTTCGGGGACCTGAATCGTGTAGAGGTAAACCGTGCTTGCAATTCGAAAGCAAAAATACAAGTTCGCAACATTACTGACCTGGCAAAACCTCCTGCAAGGTAGATAGCAACTTAATTTCCATATCTGACGAAGGATCAACGACAACTTTAAGGATTTGGACGAATTCGTCGATATCCTTACGATCTGCACCTAAAAATTAGGAAAAAAGTAATTCCCACGTAAGAGGTCTAGTTCCCAAGGCACTAAGAAACTACCCCGACAACAGACCTGGGCGTTTAAAAAAACCGCTTCGAGTTGAGTTTTACAGATAAGACTCGCTTTCATAAATAAAAAGAGAGCGGATTTAAAATTAAAGAATGAGTCTAAGACAGCCTGCACCTGGAATGCAAAGTGGGACTAGGTAACTAGCGGTGTTAGTTAGTATACTCTAAGTAACATTACTCTTAGGCCAAGAGCAACAGGCCTGTTTGGAAAACTTTACAGTAAAACTTTCGTCGATAAACTCCAAAAGCTGGGCATTATGTCGTATCTCTTATTGCTTCAACCAGGACAGTCACTTGCACCTGGTGTTGCGTTCGTGGATAATTCGTTGGGGGTTGGGAACTACTGGTGTATCTTCTGTCTGGTCTCAGGGCTTCGGTAGAACCACTCCTTAACCAATAGCAGAAGAGTTCTATACACACTTACGTAAGGTCTGGAAATTTTGTTCAGAAGATGGCTTACTCTCGTACGAGTTTTTGACGAAGCACAAGCCCGATTTCGTAAGGAATCGTGCTATATCTGTACGTTTACAACTATAAATAGTTGGCTACAGACGCGGTATACCAGATAGGCCGCCGTTCAGTAGCAGAACAGAGAGATGATAGGACGCCGTTCGAACACGAGGCGCCGAGGCAGAAACGGAAAACACCGCGCCAATAATTACTGATCGGCCGAGAATTCTATCCGAAAGCAAAATTCTATACAGGCCTGAAGTACGGGTGGGAGAGTTATCAAAGCATGTCCACGAGAACTGCAGTGCATTTTATAAAAGGTTTGAGTGAGTACAACTTCCTCACAAAATGCCACATCCGCAAACTTACTTTGAAGGGTGGCCATGGCGCTTCCGACGACTTGCCACAACACATCTGTACTTGACGAGGTAGCTAACTCCTGAAAAATCGTCCGCAGAGGCTCGTAATCGCGATTCTGAAGGAGTTCGGGGACTTTTTTAAACAAGGGGTCCTCTTTCGACTCCTGCTTGCGAGTTTCTATCCCAGCAGGACGTTTGGCACTTGACAAAAAAGCGATGCCGTGCTTCGACGCGAAACTTTCAAAAAGTGATTGGAAATTCGGCCATGAAATAGATGAATTGTAAAACAATGAAGAAACTGCTTCTTCTCCAAGCCGTTTTGACAACAAACTAAGGCAGGTTGCCAAAATTGAACATTTTCGATCGTCTGGCAAATCGGAGAGAATGGCGACAATCAAACTAAGATCCTTAGAAGACTCGTTTACTAGAGCAGTCAGGAACTCTGATATATAAGTATCGCCCTTTGGACAGTCCACCAGGAAGTCCTCGTCGCAATCGGCAAATAATTCGGAAAACCTGCGGGCAAAAAAAATGACCAACATCAGTCTAGTCGATCGAATGATGGTGAATTCAGAGCGGGAATGGCTTATAGAGAATGCCAAAGAAGAAACCAGATGCACCTTATCGGCTTCCCCGGAGGGCTGGCCCCACGATGTGTTGAGCTTCATTGAACAACGGCTGATTAGGCTCGTCAGGTAGATAGGGTTAAACAGGAAGGGGATATGGGGGGGTCTTATTCAGATGCCGGACACGACCCCAAGCTAGAACGTCAGTTAATGCTGCCAGCGGCGCCCCCAAACACGCAAAGCAAGCCCAGTTAGATTTGAAACACGACGGAAACATTGGGCTTAAAATGCAGATTCTGGCCCTAGTTTGCTTCATGTCTAAATAGAATACGACGCAGGACCACTGCGGTCTTTCAAGAGTAAAGTTGGTCATAAAGAAGTAGCTGTGGTCGCAGTTTCGTTTGCAGCTTACAGATAATGTGCAGGTGATACAGGTTGCTGGGGGCATAGTGTCTGAACACCCGTACGCAAGCTATACCTGCCAAGACAGCCCCGAAGCCAATACAATATGCACGTTATGCGAAAACCTATCAGAAGTAGAAGTCAGCTCAATAGATTCAAACTACCGTTTGGCGGACTCGTGGGCAAGTAATACAGTGGGCTAAAGGAAGCTGGCTGTCACCGCCGCTATGCAAAAGGTCGACTAGTGGCATTAAAGATGCGAGATATAACAGTTGCTATCTGTGCGATGTCGGTCTGCTTTGAATGGAGCACATAGTTGGCATCTCAATATCAGATCAGTAAGGTGGTCTTATGCAGTCCAAAAGGATGCACTCGTGCCTTACGTTGCGGAACTAGGATAGCTGACACAAGATTCCCTGGATAACGTAACGCAGCGCCACTGGACCGACGACTATCCATAGCACCCTACAGCTTAAGCAAGTTTGGAGTTGCGCACGACTGAAGAGACTGTGACCGAAAATACGCGATCAGATCTCTGAACTTGTTTAATGCAGTTAATGTAGGTGAATTTGCTTCGTGAGTCTTAATAAGAGACACCTGCATCACTTGCACTTGCTCAAATATCATACGCGGCAATTCCTAGAAGATTTTCTGCCGCGATTCGTCCGTACTGACTGAGGAATGGATGGTGCCGTGACAGGCTTCGCTTAAATATGAAACTTGTCGCAGTAGCTGGACAGCGTCGTGACGAAATAACTATAACGTAGTTAATCCTCTCTACGATAAGCCAAGACCGTTTGATGTCCCAAGGCAGAAAGGTGCGGCAAAATCCACCCGTCTATAAAGGGCACATGATCTCCGAGTGCAGTCGTTCAGTTAGTAGCCTCATTTGTAAATCAATCCAAGTTATTCCAAACATTGATGCCAGGCGTTTCCCTATTTCGGGTCGACTGACTCAGTCTCCGCATTTCTCAACTTTTTAAGGAGGCGGAAACGACAGATATGGCCATAAAACAGATCTGGCGTCTGTCTCGCTTTTCTTGGCTATAGGATACGGATGCATCAGCCAAGGAACTTTAGGCCATACCTTGCGTGGGGACGGACAGATTAGGCACAAAATTTTCTGGATTGTTGCCAGCTGGACGGTATAAAAGCCCGACCGTCATGAAGGCCCAGACTATCACTCGCGACAGTGTTGGGTAATTCAATAGGATCTTGGGAGAATACTAGACCTGAAAGTATCGTCTCGAAGGTAAAAAACCGACTTTACCGGCCAGTAAGTTGAAATTGTCAACGTTATATACACATAACAGTGTATGGAATTTATGACCAACGGTCAGAATTACTTGTGAAGTAAACATACATCTTTCGGATAGCTAGAGTAAATGGTTTAACGATGGATATGACAACTGCCAGTCCACCTGGTGGCAAATAAAACGGGAACCAAGATGTGAGGGCGTATTGGCGTGGAGTAGTTAGGGAGGTTTGTGCTTGTACGCCTGTAGTTTGGGGGACCAAAACAGGACGTCAATCCAGACCTTAACCTAGCTACACTGGGGCATGGAACGCGGTAGATGAATGCTTGAAACCAGATCAGCCGCCGTGTCAGATTTCACCTCCGCTCAGTTTGGATTGTCACTAATACGAACCACAGGACGGATTTAGGCGACGTAACGTGGATTGAAACCCCTTTCTACCATTACAGACCAAAGCGCTTTTAAACTACGAGGGGCTAGCAGACACGGCTCAGAAGGTTGGCAATCTAATGTGGCCTTTATTGCAACACTTCACTATTGTCCGAGACCCTTTCTTAAGTCTGCCCTGGGTGTACAAAGGGAGCAGCACGTGACGTGCGGTGAAAGCCGATCGCTCCAACATCCATAGGCGTCCCGCCACTCTTGTTCCACTGTCCTGGTGGCTACGCAACCTTTCCCCATAATTACGAACGTAGCAACTAATTGTTTTTGGCGGATCACCATTTCTAAGTGGAACTTTAACCACGTTTTTTGAACATTTGAATCGGATTTTCGGTTAAGACTATCCACCCCAAACAGGGTTGAGGGCAATACGCACAGCCCCTGAATTGTTACACCCCGAGTTCGCTTTTGGCTATTTCGACCTAGGATGGCGAAGTTCCACATAAGCCAGATCTGAACATTACAGCCATCAATTTTGGTGAATAAGGACTAGAACCCGGCGATTATGCACTCCATGCATCCACCTCCAGAGGCCGCGTGCATGGAGGCCCATACACGACGTAGCACAATTAAGTGAAGTTCAATGCTAGAAAGATAAAGTTGGCAACTTGAAACTCGGGAATCGCGAGGCAGTTATCTAACGTTAAAGTGGTAGGTTCAAACTACTCCATGAGCACATCAGACAGATACGAGCCTTAGGCGGCTGCTTTAATTGACACGCAAGTTGGAAGCGCACAGGTAAGGTGAAAAAAAACTAGCAAGAGTTTAAAAGACTGGCCTCTTTCTTTCACTGGTATACATGAAACTAAGTAAACCTACGACCAAGATTGAGCACTAATCAAGCAGCCACATGAACCGGTGTCCACAGGTCGAGCACGCGGGGTGCGGAAACATGTGGGCCCGGACATTCTGTCAAATGAGAAGTCCGCCACAATTGAAAGAATGAGGTAGGCTTATTGTAAGAAAAAGGCGGAATGGTTCGATACGTCAACTAGAAGTGGCGTAGTATAGCCGGCAACTGGATCAAGTTTAGCTGAGTAATAACATGTATGGCCATGATCTCAAGTCGGACGAAATGACTCCAAGGATCGCCGAAGTACGTTTGAGTTAACTGCTAGTTCTTGAAACAGTGATCATCGGCAGAATGCTAGCTAGAGCATGTCTGAGCATGCGACAGGCCGGGGAAATACGTGCAAGAAGCATTAAAAATCAATGTCTTGTAACGTAGGAGGACTTACCCGGAAGAGACTTGATCCGTCGTAAGTTGCTTTTTCTTGTAAGTGTGAGCGAGTATATCCGTTGCCATTTTCCTGTCATTGTCTTTTTTCTCCATACTGCCTAGTAGGAGTTTTGAAACAAAACTCGCCTTCTCCGACTCACGAAGAGGAAGGTCATACTACAGAACTCGAAATACTGGCAGACAAGCTTACCGATGGAGAGTCGGACATCCGAAAGGCGTCAAGGGCTTCTGATACTGCTCCACTGGCAGACATTTTCTCATCTATCCTAACCGCTTGATTTTTAGAAGGCGGTACACGTGTCTTCGTGGAACTGCTTGTGGCCCTTGACTCTTTACCGCTTTCCGATTCGCTGTTGACATCTGAATGAAGACTGTCTATCCCATGGAAGCGGTTCCCTCTTTGTCTATTGGGGAGTGTGAGTGATGTGAAATAACTTGCCTATTCAGTGTGCTAGAGGCAGCAGAGCTCCCCTTGGTCCAGTCATTTCGAGGACCCAAGAAGCTATCACTTCGGGCAGTTTTCTGTCCCCCAACGGTCAGGGCGTTTACGTTAACAGGGATCTGTATGTCGCTTGACTTTCCTTGAAAAGTGACGTTTGCATTCAAAAACTTACTCGGGTGCGTCGAAACCGGTCTTTGACGAATATCACGACGGCTGTCAGAAGATCGTGAGACAGGCTGGGGTGGGACAGAAATCGGTTCTTGCTTTTTCCACTGTCTGTTTCTCAACTCAATGAGAGCCACAATCTTATAGGCTACGTGTTGTTCCATCTTCACTTCTTTCTTGGCCGCTTCTAGGCCACTAATACACTCCTTCAGCAAATTTTGAAGCCTAGACTCGAGGAGGGGTCCGCAGGTGTTCAAACAAGTTAACAACGCAAGAACTTCGTCCTGGTTCTTAGGTTTCGCAAACGACTTTAGGGACTCAGCAGCACTCTTCTCTGGGATGAGTTTATACACGAAGAGATGGCTGAAAAACTGTATAATGCCCAGATAGGCATCGCGCTTTTTCGAAATGGCAGTTTCTCGGTCTTCTTCTAGCATCTTTTTGACTTTCTCGTCTGTTGTGTCCGCTATCTTGGCGTCTATCTTTGCGTTGAGTTCGGAGAGATAAGTCTGAAGAAATCAAAATCTTGATGAGACGTCATACCTCAAGAGGAGTACCGAACATCTTGTTTACAGCTGTTATAAGGAGAACCCTGAAGGAGTCCAGTTGCTTAACCTAGAACGGTAACACGTAAAGCATAACTTACGCGCGACAACTCCAAGCACAGTCGTGCAAACACTTCGCTGTATTTAGTCTGTCTGGTGGCCTACGGAATTCAAGTAAACAACGGCTGTCCTACCTTAGCCGTCAGGACGTCGACTAGTGCACTAATTTCCTCACGACCCGAGATAGACAACTTCTTTATTTCATCGACTATTTCCTGGATGTTATCGTCCAGTAACCGATTCAGAGTTATATTCAGCTCCTTCGATATTTTTGCTACTCGATTCTCTGTCGACGATTCTGGTTCGCGTAGATGAGCCGGTTTATAGGCGTTTTCGACGTCATCCAACTTTACGTTGGTTTTTAGCGTAATACACCGCCGCTGCTTCTCCCTTCTATAGCAAGTTGAACTCTAAACCGTGAGAAACATGAATATCACACATACCCTCTCGGCTTGATTTATTGAAACGGCGGACTGAGTCTACCGGAAGAATTAAGAATGAACATTAAACATACCAGGAAAATAGGAGCGGTTGTCTCGCTCACCCTTCGCAGAGCAATAAGCTCATTACGGTCATATCTTCGGACTTTCTCACCGACATCCAAATCACCTGAATTGGCGCTAGAGCCATTAAGCTCTACGTCCGAGTCCTGAGCAATCGACGCCTCTTCCTCTTCTCTTACCGAGCCACTACTTTCGGACTCATCCTTCGGCAACTCTTTGTCCGGTTCCTCAGGATCTTCTTGACTTGGCGATTCTGGTGGCTGTTCGACTTCGGAAGTGGACGAGCGTTCAGAATCTTGAACAAGGTGGTCCCCATGTGTCTGCTCATGTATGTTGTCAGTAATGTGTAAGGGGGGATCCTTAACTACTAATGGCCGGTGTTCATGTTGCACATCTGCCTTTCGTGAATTATTAACGCGCGCGCTAAGGTCGGAAACGGGAACTTCCTCCCCCGTTGTTGGGTCCTTGATAACAATGGGCGTTCGTTTCTGTTGCGCGGTGTGCGTAGAAGTGGTGTCCGCAGGAGTGGTCTCTGACTGGACAGCCTGAGCAGAATTAATCATGCAATGATCAGTTTGTTGAACCGGCATCGTTTGCACACAGAAGTAGGGGAACGTGTAGTTTCCAGTTGCCGGCAAACACGCCTGAGGAACCGACGGTGCGTAAGGATAGTGCTGAGGGTAGGCATCGGCTTTGAAGAGGGTGGTAATGGCCAAGGGAACTTACTCATCATAAACGCAGCGAAAGGCTACGAATCAAATTAAGTAAAATAATAAAAGGTGGCTTACATTTAAAGTCGAGGCATTTTGGGTCGTATTTCTACGAACAAATGGATTATAAGGAAATTCTTAAAACAAAGTGTATACCGAACTTCTGTATACGAGGGTGGAACATTCATCTGAAGATATAAAAAGGTCAATCGCGACGTGGGAAATGTGCCTTCCCTAACCACGGAACCTGGCAGACGTGGATATCAAAACAGTAAAACAACAGTAGCCAGAACAGGTTCAACTGCCTTTTTCTCGTACAAAGCGGCACTACTCGGCCTGAAAAAGTTTTACTTTACACAGATTAAGCATAAGCAGTGTAAGAAGTTCATAATCATGAGCTTTTGTAATTCGTTGGGATGCACTTAGTAGTCGTTTAAGTCGGATACTGACTATACATTTAGGCGAATGAGTTGCCTTGCTCAAATGCCATGCTAAGGGGTGAAATATAGAAGTAATATTATACACCAGAGTCAGTGTTGGTTGTGGAAAAAGGAGTAAATAGATACTCCCATAACAGCAGCATCAGCACAAATGTGCTAATAGCAGCAGAGCCACTTTATCGCTCAGCATAATTAAGATAGAGCTGTGAAAACTCTTATAGAGCAAGTAGGAAGAGCGTTTGGCGAGCATACGCATGTTTTCTACAAATCCTCATCAGGCCAGTGCATAAGTAAAATAGAACATCATTTGGCACTGTGTGGAGATGAGTTTTCTGAGACAGTCAACCAAAGGAGGGGGTGTACGACAATGACATCGCATGTTTTCAGTCGAATCATGCATAAGTGTTTCAATGCACAAGTTAATTAACGCAGTGGAATCTTGAAGTC